TGGGCGGTGCGGGCGGGGGGGAAGGGGGTGAGGGCACCGAGCAGAAAAAGAAGGAAGGAGAGAAAGGGGGTTAGGGCACCGAGCTGGGCCGGGCGGGCGGAGGAGAAGGGGGTTAGGGCACCGAGCTGGGCCGGGCGGGCGGAGGAGAAGGGGGTTAGGGCACCGAGCTGGGCCGGGCGGGCGGAGGAGAAGGGGGTTAGGGCACCGAGCTGGGCCGGGCGGGCGGAGGGGAAGGGGGTTAGGGCACCGAGCTGGGCCGGGCGGGCGGAGGGGAAGCAGGTGCTGCTTTGCACAGAGAGAAGACGAGTGCGAATACGTTCGACAGGTGCCAACGACCGGGCAGGGGTCACACAGTCATAGAATCCTAGGACTGGAAGGGACCTCGAGAGGCATCGAGTCCAGTCCCCTGCTCTCATGGCAGGACCCAGCACTGTCTGGACCATGGGTTCCCAAACCGGGGGGGGCGTGAAGAAATTCCAGGGAGGGGGTGCAAGGTAACCCAGCCCCCCTGGTTAATTCCCCTCCCCCAAGTTTTGCTGCAGGTTAGGGGGGCGTGAGGATTTCTCAAAGATCAAAAAGAGGGCGAGCTGCCGAAAAGTTTGGGAAGCACCGACCGGTCTAGACCATCCCTGCTAGACATTCATCTAACCAGCTCCTACATATCCCCAGAGACGGGGATTCCACCACCTCCCTGGCAACGTATCCCAGCGTTTAACCCCCTGACAGGCAGGAACTTTCTCCTAATGTCCAACCTAAACCTCCCTGGCTGCAGTTTCTGCTCATTGCTTCTCGTCCTGTCCCCAGAGGCCAGGAAGAACAAGTTGTCCCCAATACTTACTGCTATGGGACCTGCGGGTGCCACTGTGACTCCAAAAAATAACTGTGGGGCGGAAGGGCAGATGGCAGAAAAAAGGGAGGGGAAGCAAGACCAGACCTCTTAATTTAGTGAGCATCACTTCTTTGCGCTCCTCTGTTTCACTGTACTGCCTGGACCCCGACTGTGCAAGCTGCTGCCCAGACCCTTACATCTGCACGGAGCTCTTCTGGAGTCCACAAGGCTCTGGGGGGCAGGGATCAGCGTGCGGGTCAATACCTGGCCCTGTCCAGGGAAGCTCATGACCCAGCCCGCGGGCCAAACCCAGGGCTGAACCATGGGCACGCACCACCAGAGGCGCATTGTGCGTGTGCCAAGAACGAGGCTCCAGGCTCCGTGTCACCCAGCTGGAACAGGGGGGCTGCCGTGCAGGATTCTGCATGGCTGGAGGATGGAAATAACCTGATCTCGATCTCGGGGACACGGCACAAAGCGCCTGAGGGGACGGGGCTGCTCCAGGACTGCGGATTTATTTCGAGCATTTCCCCACTAACCCGTGTCCAGCGTGTGCAAGGCCACAGGCCCGTCACGGCCGCCGAGCAGCGCCTCTGGCCCAGCCGGGGCGG